CCACTTTGCTCAAGAATGCCCCACTCGTTTGAGGAAGAAGAAAGCCCTCGCTATCACTTGGGATGATGAATCAGAATCTGATAAAGATGAAAGTGACAACGAAGGCGAAGAGGGATACAAACAATTCCTTGCCTTCATGGCAGCTTCTGAAACTGATAGACGAATAGAGTATCCAAAGAGCCCGATTAAGAATGCCACTGCTGATGAATCCTCGGGGAGTGAAGATGAAGAACTTCAGCAAGCATATCAAAAGTTGTATAAGGAATCTCTTAACTTATCCAAATTGAATGACAAACTACTACAAAACTTAAAGCATGTGAAAGCGAGAATGTCAAATTAAAGAAAAAGATTTCCGAGGCTAGGAATGGTGCCTTTAAGATTTCTAATGATCGACAAGCTCTTTGTACAAAACTCTTGACTTGTGAGACAGAGAGGAATGAGCTACAACAAATCTATGTAACATATGAAGAAAAAATTGAAACTCTCGAGATGTCTCAAGTTGCTTTGGAAGAACTAATGATCAAGAAAGAGGAAGAATTCAAGTGTGCTATGGCTACCATTGGTCTTTGGAACAGAGGATCAAAGACTTTGGAAAATATCATTGGGTCTCAACAAATTTGTTCTGACAAGAGTGGCATTGGCTTTGGTGGTAAGAAAGAGCAAAAACAGAGTGCTTTCACATCTCATGATATAAGAACTCAAGGAACGGGAGAACAAAAAATTCAACATGAGGATGGACTTCTCAATCTTCCTAGAGTTGGTAAGGTCAAAGAAAAGAAGGTACATCCTGTACACCCTATTTTTATTTGTCATCATTGTGGTTTGGCTAGTCATATTCGCCCTTATTGTTATGAGTTGCATGGGAGAATGTCTCATAGAGATGGAAGAAATTCCAACATCTCGTTGGGTAAGGGACTTCATTGGTGGTAATGAGGTTAAGGGTCATATTAGACCTTGTTATTTTGATTTGCTTGAGTGTACACCCTGTTTTTATTTGTCATCATTGTGGTTTGGCTAGTCATGTTCGCCCTTATTGTTATGAGTTGCATGGGAGAATGTCTCATAGAGATGGAAGAAATTCCAACATCTCGTTGGGTAAGGGACTTCATTGGTGGTAATGAGGTTAAGGGTCATATTAGACCTTGTTATTTTGATTTGCTTGAGACCAAACATGGAGCGAGTTTGTATTTGCCTAGACCTAGAAATGGGAAGTTGGAAACCATGTCGAGACAGGTTCCCATTGAAAGGGAAGGGAACCCCACAATGTCAAGACACCACCCAAGAACCGTCATTCTCACAACTTTGTTCATACTAAAACAATTTGGGTGAGAAAACTTGACTTGTGTTAATTTGTTTCTTAGTTTTAGTTTTTGGGTTTCTGTATGTTTTTTTTTAGTCATTTAGTGTGTGCGTGTTCATTCTCTGACTTGCTTTGTTTAGGAAAAAAAAAAGTGTGCATGTTTGTTTTATGTCTTGCTTTAGAAAAAGAAAAAAAAAATCCAAAAAGATTTTCTTAGTACGGTTTTGCAAGCTTGAAATTTTTGAGTTGTCCTTGGTGCATATTGGAATTGATGAGAATATCCATTACATGTTAATATATGTGTGCTTTCTATGGTCATTACTCATTTCAGAGTGTGTGTTCTTTGATTAGTATGTCTCATTTTGTACACACTCTTGGATTAGCAAATTTTGGAGTCTTCCGCCTTAGTGATCATTTTTCTCTATGGACTTCTGGCATTATATCTTTTGCTTTTCTAGAGGAATTGACCTATACTAGCACATCATGGGTGATGTTGAGTCTCTTAACCACCTTCCATCTTTTTGCATCTCCATGACTTTCCCCTCTATTCTTTGTAATCCAGCCATAAGGAAAAGGCCACCTCAGAGTCACCAACCAGGCTATCTTTATTATATCCATGCTTCTCTGGTTCGGTTTCTATACTCTTGAGCGTGTTAGCCACCAATGAGTGTGCACAAGAAAAATAAAAATAAAAAAAGAAGAAAAAAAAATGTGCAAAAGAAAGGAAGAAAAAAAAAAGAATAGATTCATTGATTGAGGAGGAGCCTCCGCTATTACTCAACAAATACCCCTTGACTCCTAGTGGTTTGACTTTCCTAAGTTGTGCTTAGATTCTCTTGTCAGAGGTCCAGCTTACTAGGATTTGAATCTAGTGTTTGTCGAACTCCAAGAGTCACACACCCACTTTTCTCATGGGATCTATGCTTTTCACATAATGCATCACTTTCTTTTATGAGGAATTTTTTAGAGGCTGTGCACATTGTGTTTTCAAGTGATTGTGCTTCTTGGATAGTCTTGTGTGTTTTAAGGTACAAATCTGAAATTCCCTGCTTGTTCCACCATATTATTTTTTTCGTTTTCTTCTTGTTCATTTTTTTTAATTTGCGTGTTGCTATCCACTACTTGTTTATTGCTTATATCTCGAAGGTTATTAATTTTTCCATCATCTTGTCCCTGTTTGTGTGGTGTTTGATCTTGCTTTAGTTGATTGAGGTTCCTTTGTCAATTCGTGACAAAAAGGGGGAGAAAGTTGTTGTTTATGTTTTCATGCATATGTGTCGTAGTTTGATTTCATCCATTCATGTGTCGGGTGCATGTGTCTTAGTTTTCATGTTTTCATGCTACATGTTCTTAAGATCTCTAATTTCCTTCTATTCATTTTTTTATCTCATGCTTCAAGGTAATCTAGTCATGTGTTTATTGTTTTTTCATATACTCTTGTGGCACTAATAGTTGTTTTGGAAATTGTGGCACTAATAGCTGTTTTGCAGATCATGACCTTGAGAAAGAAGTTTGCGTTTGTTGGCTGTATTGGGTTGGGGTGATTAGGATTTTATTTGTTAGGTATGTTTTGTCACGGCATTGCCAAAGATTGTTAGGTTTTTTTTCTTGGCAACCCCGTTTTACAAAACTCCTTTCAGTTGTATTTATTTTTGCACTTTTTTATTTCAGTGAGGCTATGAGTTTTTAGATGCGAATCCAACCCGAATTGTGCCTTGCAGAGAAGTTTTGTGATGTTAATTCTTTCAAGA